TCATGTGGGCTGAGCAAATGAGTGTTGGGGTAATTAGGGCAAATGAACATGTTTCTTCAAAGATAATTAAAGTCAATTATTTATCTTTTTCACTCTGGTTCCTGTGCACACAATAGCAGTGATTCTGAATCAGATTGCTCAGAAGTAGCCCCACAGATCTGTAGAAGCTTTGAAAAATGTAGTCAGAACTGCTGAACACTTATATCCTTTCCAGAGAACAGAAACTTTCAGTAGCTTGTTAAAACAGTTGCATCAAAAGATAGCCAGACAAGCTAAATTGAACAACATGCTGTTCTCTGTTTTCTAATCTCTTGTTGATTTGTAGTACAACAGGTAAAATGCAGTTTATATTCAGCCTTCCTTGTGTGTGTGATGCAAACCGAGCAGCCAACAGCTGTCCAAACGCTGTTCCTGCTCTATAATTCTTGACCAGTTCCTCTTTGTTTTTCTTTTTTTCTTTTGGAACATTATTGATTTTTTTTACACTGAGTGTAACAGTAGAGGATTAGAAAAATATATAGTCAGAGAAGAAGCTACATTGAGATTACATTAAAAGCAATAAGAGTACATGTTTCAGCGAATGCCAGGATATATTGATATTGTAGCTCAAGAGGGAAAGAGCCTGTTCAGAATATAGAAGATGTTTTGGATGCCAGGAATCCTCCACTAATAAGTACACCTCTGAAATCCTGCAAGGGAGGCTTAGGGACTCCTGAAAAACCTGGCAACGAAGCCATGAGTGCGTTTGCATGACGCAGCAATCCACTGCATGAAACCAGCCAAGGTCGGTCACCATGTTATCCAGGAGAACTTGTTTGGGTGCAGCAAGGCACCCTGACAAGCCATGGCTTGTTCTACAACTTGTTTGGCATACACTGGATTGTCATGTTGTTTGACTCTCACAGAACAATTTCATGGTGAGTCACAAAAGGCCATCCCTTTTCATGGCTCCGTTTCAGAGCTGTTTCTGTAGTTTCACGACAGCTGTCAAAAAACCTCGAGAAGGCGACTGAACAAGACGGAGGAAACAGTGCCACATTAAGCAGGTCAACCCATTCTGAGCTACCCTGTTCTGTCACCTCAGACTTGTCCCGTGGGCCTCCAGATGTGACGGACTGCAGCACGCTGGCTCGGAATGACGGGAACTGCGATCTCTTGCGTTAGAAGGGCAACAAGTTGGGGAAAGCTGGAATTGATACTTTTAACACAACATTCCTTGTATATATAGAACAAAAAAGTCCCAGTTCCTCCAAATTCATTCACTTACTTACAATCTTTCTCTACCTCTCCATGTTCAAACAGATTCTGGAACAGGGAACTGTGTGAGCTGAAAACAAATGAAATAATAAAAACAATGTGCTCAGAGCTTAAAAGAAGGCCGTGACTGGTCAGCAAGGAAAGGTGCCCTAGAAAGAGAACACTGTGCCTACCTGGCCTCCCGAGGCAGGGAATTTCATAGAAACGGGGTGGTAGAAACCTCACTTCAGCTTTTAATTCACTGGCTGACCTCAGTTAGGTTGCTAAACAAAGGCAGCTTCCTCCTTTCTTGCGCCTTGTGTCCCACGGGAGTTATCCTGCTGTCTCCATTGCCAAGGCACTACAAGGACCCTTGAAGTGAAATTCTTTTAAAATGCTCCACCAGTGGAGGAAATGTTCTGTAAAACAGTTAAATGTCATGTGTTCTTATGAAGGTGGGTTAGCTGGGCACGAGATCTGCCCTGGGAGGAGCTCCACTCGTTGCCCTGTTGCCCCTGGGCACATCTGGGTGCGCGTGCCAGTGTCATATGGGGCTGTTGTAAGAGGTTTATGTGAGCATTTCAAGGGCTTTTCAACCCTCTTTCTCTGTGTTCCGGGTCACAAATACAGTAGCTTGCATGATGCGCAGGAGGAGGGCTGATTGGGGATCGTGGCCATGTACCGACAGTTTGCTCTAGGTCCCCAGGCACATGTGGAGGGGGCAAGACAACTGGGCTGTGCTGGGCCCTGTGGAACATCTCTGTGCGATGCCCATGCTAATGGCAGCATTATAGAATCTGCCCCGTACCTAGTAAGACCCTTCAGTGGTCTAGCCCAGTAGCTTTCCAGGTCTTATGCAGAGGTCTTTCCATCTTCAGCTGCCTGACCCTTTTTAGCCAGCAACAGCAGGGATGGAACCTTCAGCTCCACCCCTGAGCTGCTGTCCCTTCATATGGACCAGAAAAAGTCATTGGAGATCCTTTTGGTCTACTCTCTTGACCACTCCAATCAGCTTTCCCCAACCAGTTGGTCTGCAGATATGTTGGACCTCAACTCTCAGCAAAGCTAAATGCTGTATACCCACCAGCTGGGCATTTTCCTGAGCAGAAGGCAGACACCTTGCTGTAGAAGGAGTTGCCATGTTCCCTTGGCACCTGCCAAGTATTCCATGCCGGAATTGCAAAACAGGACCAGCATCCTGGGCTAACCCAGTTATAGTGGCTCATTGTGTACCCTTACCATATCCTCTAGCTTCCCCACTCTTATTATCTGCGCATGAATTACTGCAGTGCACTTCAGGTAATCTCCATGGCATTGTTTGTCAACAATAGACATCCCTGCTGTTTGATTTGTAAAAAGATCTGGCCTGCAAAAAGAAAACTGTAACATGAGCAATGGGCTTTAAAAGAAGAAGAAGAAGAAAGAATGGCTTTCCTATCACAGCCATTTTAACTTGTAATCCCTGTATAAATTATTCCTAGATTTCCCTGTCACATCACCAGGAAGACACACCCCTGCCACTCTTAAATACAATCCTCATCTTCTCTGATTGAATAAATGGCTCATGTAATTGCTTCTTCACGCTGCCTCCTTGTTTCAGCAGCTAAGCTTCATTAGTGTGACAATGGAAATGTCTGACAAATGGTGGGAGAAAATCAGTGTCACGTTTCACTGTAGGATTTCCAATTTTTAATTCATGCCTTTACTTCTGCAAGCAAGCCTTGTACTAGCTTGTGTCTACTATGAAATTTCCTTAACGTCTCCACCCTGCACCCCGAAATTACGCTCTTTTCACTCAGAGGTCAAAGCACTCTTTTTACTGCTATGAACGAAGAAGCCAGATTGCTTCAACCATCTAAAGCTGCAGTTCTGGGTACACTTAACCTGGGACTAAACCTTGCTGAACTTAGCTTATAGGATGGTTTTGGGTATTCTGCACTTCAAGTCTAAGCTGTAGTTGGATGTCTGTTCAGCACTTTTTTTGGTTGAATATTCATGACAGCTTTGTTACAAAAGTTTTATTGCTGTTGCAATTCCAGTTCAGATTCACTTCTGGAACAACATTAATATGTAGGCCATGGTGGGTTTTGTGCATAACTGTTCAAAGGAGAAATAGAAATACAAATGGAGTGACTTCCTTTCCATTATTTCATGAACTGATATTTAAATAGTGTTTGGAACATCCCTTCTCCGGGGTGGTACATTGACCCTACTAATATGTTTTTATACTTCTCTGTTAACTGTGTCATTGACATGTAGGGTATCTCATCCAACATGGCTGTAATGTTAATGTAGCCAGATAGAGCAGGGACTTGTGTGTTGTAGCACCTGTGTTGTGAGTCAGCCCTGTGTCGCTTACTGACTGATGCTTAAACTTTCACATCCTGTCTTTCTGGTGCAATTAAGCACTTTGGGTGGCTGGGTGCGGGGACTTAGAGCAATTTAAAAGCAATTTCCAAACCATAGCACAAAATGTTCTACAAATACAGTTTGGAACAAGGGACAGTTAAAAAGTCAATAAAAGCAGCTTTAAAGAGTAGAGGGAATCAATTCTCTGACGACTTCTCAGCTCCAGAAACCAGATACTTAGCACAGGCATAGACAACATGTGGGGCTCCTTTGAGGAGGACTCTGTGGGTGTGGAAATTTGGAAGTTGTCCAGCTCTGACCGAACAGGACATGACTGTCTTAGCCAAGTCACAGGAGGCCATGAGAGGGCCAGGGGGCCAAAAGGGACTGCTGTAGCCTAGGGACAGCTCAGAGAGAAGATACCCTTGTCTCAGCCAGTGTGGTCACGTATCTTTGGACCCTGACGGATTATACCTATCCATTTGCAAAACTTATTTTGTTCTTCCCTATTTCTGCTTTTATTTTGTCTTATTTGCAAGTTCTTGGTCATAGTGGGTTTTAAGCTAATTTTCCATTTAATTTTTAATCAAGTTAGTTTTAATATGAATGCTTTATTGATTAGTTGTTCACAAGCTTATGCTTTGTGAAAAGGCCTCTAATGAATCTTACAGACAGATAAATTGATAAGACTTGCACTTTATGAGGAAGCAGGGTGATGGGCAACTTTGGACCCGAGGAAATGACTCTGGTTTCTAGGTTTCTTCAGGAAGATGAAAACAGCAACAACGATTACTACTGCTATTGCTAAGGGCCAAAATTGCATGTCTTTGAAATGATACTTATTTACACTAGTAGGGAAATACTGGGTCCAACAAATCATTTACCAGGAGTACGATTCCACTAAAATCATTCCCTTTATTGATTTCATTTAAATCCTGGATTGTACATTGGCAGCATTCAAACGTTAACACTTGAGCGTGAGTCTGTGGTCTGCATATTCCCACTGTCCTTTCAGCGCTGAAGGGCACAACTTCTGCTCTTGCTTTAGCTGCAAACCATGGTTTGCTGTTTCATTAAAAACATCATTTGCTTGCAAGCCATGGTCACAAACTACAGATTAATACAGGAGGACGCATAACATCCCTAAATGACTTGTGTATACATGATTAAAATGTCAAGCGGGGAGCAAATTTGAATGAGGAGATTTGTCTTAGTCTAATTTCCATGTAGTAGCTTCATAATTCTTCTCTTGATTCTTCATATTTTTATTGTTCTTGGGTTATTCCTTTTTGTGGGCAGTATGAGTGGTAGAACATTGTCTGTGTGTGGGGGGGTTTGTTTTGTTTTTGCTTCCTAGTGCAAGCAAAGTTCTCTTATCTTACTAATCCCCCCCTTTTTTTTGGTTGTTTAAACAGAAAAAGACCTATCAATGTATCAAGTGCCAGATGACCTTTGAGAATGAGAGAGAGATACAGATTCACGTCGCTAATCATATGATTGGTAAGAAATCTTTCAGTTTGACCATTCATAAACTAATTGCTTCTTTCCCTTTAATCTTTGATGTTGACTCTCCTTGCTAGTGGGTAACATGTGTGCTTCTGTTTTGTTTGCGCTTTGCTTCAGTAAAAGCAGCCATTAAGGCTGTGTGGTTGGATCCCAGGGTATGCTAGCCAGGGTCTGTGTGGGTCAGGAGAATATATTCTAATCTTCCATATCACTCTTGGGCAAGGGAAACCATCATGGCATCATATCAGCATATCACTCCTGGACAAGTGTGTGTGTGAGCTGTTCCCTGATTCTTTGTAGGCTGGGTAATGCAAAACTGTGGTTTGCGCTATCTGTAGTTAAGCCAGGCCCTGATTGGCGCATCCAGATGTACAGCGAATCGTGGTTTAGAGCTGCTTGTCTCCTTTTCTTTCCCGTCTGGTGAGTTCTGAAGCTCAGTCTCATTTTCATGAGGCAGGAGCCTTTAGAGGAAGAGTGGTGACTCTAGCTATGGCGTGTTGATGGTCTGTGAATTTAAACAAAACAACTAACAGCAAGAAACACAAACCATGATTTGCACACCAGTGTCAAACCATGGTTTCAGATCCTGGCTTGTTGCCACCAAAGAAACCATGTTTTTTAGTCAGACTCTGAAAAGCAAACACAGTTTGGTGCTTTAGCCATGTGCAGCCCTACTCCATGTTTTGCTGAGGCTACGCTTGCATCATACTACTTTGTACAGAGAGAAGAAAATCTCCTTTTCACAAACGTTTACGTTCTGTGGTTCTAGGAATTTGAAGAGTGTGGTGTATGTCCCTGATATCATTTGACCATATTCTGTTCTCCTTCCTGTCCCAGTCTTCAGTTTTGCCATTTGGAATATGGGTTTCAGACAGCTGCTTTTCTCACTTTGGGGAAGTACTGGCTTGAGAGTGTTGACGGCCTTTGCAAGGCCTCCACTCAAACTTACTTAAAATGTCTAAGTTGTCCCTTTCCTGTCCCATTTTCTCTGAGGTTGAAATGCAACTTTTGACAAGATCTTCCACTTTATGCCATAAATTCTCCTTTTATCTGGGAGGTGGGGTTGGGGGAGGATGCCAAATAGCTCTCAATGGTTGTCAACCACTTAGAAGCAATTATGCTTCAATTTTGTATGTCATGACATTGAATTGCTCACATTTCCATCACTTAAACGTCGTGAATTTCTGAGATACATTGTCAAAACAAAATGCTTAAGAAGTTTCATTCCAGGCTTCCTGTTTAACTTTTTCTGGTGTGCATGAATGTTCAAGTTTCTTTTTCTTTTGCCCAAATGGTTTGGAATTTTGAATGGTTTTCTTTCTTAGTCGTTCACATTTTACATTCACTGTTCTTGTTTTCAGCAGCAAGGCCCTGCTTTCTCTCAAGCTTGATTTTATTTGGAATGAAACCCAGTAAAAATGTTACTGCAGTCAAAAGGGCTGTATTTCTGGTGCAGCTGTAAGGGTGCTTATTTTCCTTCCAAAGAATGCAGAGAATAGTTTCTTCTCCTTGCCCAGATGTTATAAATATATGTGAAGGCTCAAGAGCTTAGTTTATTTTGATGCATAGACCACAGAGGAGTTCCTTACACATGTCACTCCAGCCGTATGCCGTCGAAGATCCTTCAAGGGCTCTGCAGAGTTCTTGGTCTGTTCACACACAGGCGTTCATCTCCGATAATCATAATGGTTCCCCCCGAACAATTTAGCATTTAAAGAATCTATTCTTCCTTGTTCAGAGCGCCTATTATCATTAATGTGAATTATGCACAAATGTTGAAGGGAGAATTTGAAATGCTGACACTGAAGATTACAGCAAAACCCTTTTCTGGAAGGAAAATGGGTGCTGTCACTCACCATAATTTCCAGAGTAGCGCTAGGTGGGGAGCATGCAGGCAGTGTCAGGGAGGTTAAAATGAAGTTATCTAAAAATGTTTGCTTTTGTGGCAGGTGTTAATGCAATCTCTTGTTTGCAGGTGTGAAGGGTGAGAGCTTTGCTAATTGGACCATGGTGATTTCAGCGCTTTCCCACCGTCTTCCTCCCCCTTCCCTGCTTTTATTAAAATCCGTATCCTTAGGCAGATAGATATGTATTTTTAATGTAAACCTGTGAAATGGAGGTGCTGGCATTCATAATATGGAATGATGCTGCATACACGTTCTGTTACAGGTTTACTCCATGACTGGGCTCAAATAATAAAAGCCTGCAAAGGGTCCTGTTTCACTGGCTCTTCTTTAGATGTGCCACCAACAGTATGGCTACTGTCTCCTCTGTGCTGGATGATCCCATTCCAGCTCCCACCCATGTGCTTCTTGTGACAATGCTCGACATCCAGTTTATCAGACTGGAGGCATGGAGGTGCACTGAGGGTCCTGCTTGTGGCCCGAGCCAGCGGTGCCCCTCTGTCGATTCCTGATGACTGTGGGCCATTCTGCCATACTTAGGTTCAGATGGCTCCTCCGTGTTGTGAAAGTCCATTGTCTCCTGCAACAAGCAGTGGCTGAAGTGGCCCTCCGGTGGAACTACTTGCTGGCCATGGGCTTCTAGAACCCATAATTTAAAATACTGCACATGGAGGGTTAAGGTGTGTGTAATTGGTCAAATACTTCGTCTTACAAACTCAGATCACCACAAGGATCAAATCTTCCTTGCATGGTTGGCACAGTGAAGATTTGCTGAAAACAATGAAGCAGGCCCTGTGTGTAGTACCTGTACAGGTGAGATGTGGGAAGGAAGGTTTTAAAAAGACCACATTAATTTGGGGTCTTTGCAGGAACAAACGACAGAATTCTGTTCTTGGCTAGTTTATTCCATCAAGGAAGCCCATCTTTTTCATTATTCCTCACAACTAAAACAGCTGGTCGGTTAGCCCAGTAAGAAGGTCTTCAGATCTTTTTTCATATTTATGCTCAATGGCTGCATGGCAAACATGCTTGTCTGTCTCTGGATGGCTTCTTGACACCGAAAATCTGATCCGTGATAAGCTTGTCCTTTGTCATTTCTTTCAAATGATTGTGCAATGATTGGATCAGCTAAATATACTGGATCCCCCCATCCCTGCTGGAAGCTATGGATTTTGGGAGCTGATTTGGTGGTGAATGGTGGATGATGTACTCAAACCCTTGGCATTCCCAGGAGTTGAGCTCCTGGGTCAACATAACTTTATTTGCTGTTCACATTTGCTTGCTAGTCTGCTATTCCACCTTTTCTCCACATACCCAGGTAGTATACCTGCAGCTGCTTGCCTGAGTTATCCATCCACTCAAGGGCCTTGTGAGCTACGTTAGGCTGAGAATCAGTGCCCGGCCCAGTGTCACCCAGTTAGCTGCATGGCAGAGTGGGTGCTGGCATCCAAGTCTTGAGACCCAGTCCAATAAACTAACCATTCTGCCCTGCTGACTTACCAGAACTCCTCCCTGCTCTGCCATCCACATCGTGTCTGCTTCCCGCACTTCCCTCACTCTGGTTCTTCTGCGGACAATTTACCCAAGGGCAGGGAGCATAAGTATGAGTGTGTGAGCTCTTCCTGCTTTTGTCATGTTCCCCATCATCAGTTAGAAGCTGGTGGTGAAAATCCTCCATGGGGAGCCCTTCATACTCGCCGAAGTTCTTTGTGAAATCGACAACTCTGCTTTTCCAGGATTCTAAGGTAGGCAGGGAGCCTACCTGGGCAGAGAAACCTTCTCTCTGAAAAGGTTAGCCTTGTGGAAGGTGACTGGACAGTGATGGAAGGGGGTGCAACAAGCACGCTTGTCCTTGCCGGTCCATCTCATGTGCGAATGGTATTCAACATGGCACCCAGAGAAGGACCTCTATTCGATTCGATTCGATTCGATTCATGTATGATTTTTTTGTGTTTTATATGCAATTTTAATGATTGTAAGCCGCCCTGAGGCTCATGCGATGGGGCGGCATATAAGTTGTTTAAATAAAAAAATAAATATGCCGTAGGTATGCGGTGCATGGATCCTGCTCCCCCTCCTCTTTCTCCCCTTCCTCAGCACTGCAACCCTCTTAGGACTGATCTTGCCCTTCTACTTCTGGTTTGGCATGACTGGCTGTGGAGTTCTGCCTTTCCATTAACCTGCTGAACCTGGAGCTTCTTTAGGCACAGATTGAGGTAACAAAAGGGCCTCATTAGGTGCTATGGAATGAGCTGTACTAAATTTATAAGGCAGGAAAGTTGAGATTCCATTAGTTTAAGGGCTGAAATGGTCTGGAGATGGTTTTGGGGACCAGGGTACTTTGCATATAGGAGATACCTGGTTAAATTCCTGGTGCATTTCCAGTTATAAAGACAACCTCTGTTGGATCATTGTTTGCAATAAGAGTAGGCTGACCTACAGAACCTGTTGGTCCTCTGTGGCCAGCAATTGCAGGAGCTGTGGTCCAAAATGGGAAGCTGGAGCTGGATGGACGGAATGCCTGCCAAGCCTGAGGCGGCTTCCACGTTCTTACGGAGGTTCTGCTTCCTCGTGAGCGAGTGGCTCTTCAGCCCAATGAGAATTGAGCGTTTGGGGAACCTTTACGTGCTGCCTCCCTGTAGAAACACTCTCTCTTGTCGTTCCCTAGTCATACGGCGGCATTAATCAAAATAAGCATGCTGGCAAATGTTCAGGACGGCTCGCGCATGATTCTTTGAAAATGTTCCCTTCTGCTTGCTTTTTCCCCACTCTGTGTATCTATCACATATATACACACTCACACACGCATGCAAACACTGCGGCATATTGGGTCCTCGGTGACATTCCCCAGGGGCGGAACAGACTGGCTGCATCCCTAGAGGAGGTATATGGGAAACATGTTGCTTTGTTTTCATACCAGGGCCTCTGGGAAAATTCCTAACGAATGAACAGACCCCCTTCTTCGTTGTGAACGGTCTAGAGGCTATTGGGAAAAAAAATTCCGAGCAAGGCTATTCAGAGTTAAGCAGCTTATGCCTGCCGCCCCCCACCCCAACCCCCAAATCCCCACTTTCCTTTTTTAAACCATCT